AGGATAATAAAATTTTCATTATATATATATATCATTTTTTTTCCAGCTCGAACATTAATAAATTAAATTACAAAATATAATTTTGCCACCACAAATATTTTAAAAAAACCAACAAAAAAATAAAAAGAAATATTAGTTAAATGAAACTATGATCCTGAGCTCACCTTAATTTGTTGATTGAGAGCTTTGACTGTCAACCAAAAAATCTTAGATTTGAATATTATATATATGATGTGCATATGAATTTACCTTCATTAGCCTAAATATCCCCCAAATAAAACTATGATTATAATTTAATAAAGAAAAGAATCAGGAAATTATCTCAATGAGGCTCTCAAAGAAAAAATAATTCAAAAATAAACTCAGCGCAGAATCAAAGTAGAGAAATTGAAGTCATAACTTAGCGATTTCAAGCAGCATAAAACAGTCTAAAATGTTACTGCTCTCATCTCTTTTCTTAATTTGGTAGTTCTCTATACTAACAGAACCATTTTTTTTAGATTTTAAGCGAATTACGCACACACTTACAGAGCGTAGCTAAAGTGTACCAGCTTAGCTCCTTCTAGACTTTCCTCATCAGCAGGAAGAGCCTCTGATCCAGCTCGAAATTAGCAGCATTTGAAGGATCCCCCTTCAGCAGCATCAAAAGGCCACCAAATGAGACATATATCTCTCTGCAACCAACGGGAATGGGAGTTGAAAGAGTATTTGTCAGATCAAATATGTCAATTTGTGTGTTGAATCTTATGGTTTTTGCAAGCTAGATCTTTTCTTTGTATGATTATGTAAATATGTATATGTTTTTCAGATGAGTTTTTGTCTGAAAGAGGAACGTAATTAGAAATATGCAGGGAATTCAAGCACTGAAAAGATTAAGAAACAAGGCTTACACTTTCACATTGGTCCCTCCAGCAGCACTTTCTTCTGAGATTTTATATAGTTTCCCATGCATAACATACTCAAAATTGTCCGCAAGTGACTTCTTCTGTCCCTGCAAGAAGCACTATTTTATGAGAACCCAGCTCTAACGTAGCTCACTTTGATGTGTGGATTGAGAATTTTGCTTACAAATTAAGAGATTTAGGTTTGAAGTTCTTGTATGTGAGTTTATCTTAATTGACTCAAAAGTTCAAAAAAAAGAAAAAAGATGCCAACACTAAGGTGACGAAATTGATAATGTCAAAGTCAGCTGCTGCCCTGCTCGACTGCTCATAACGACTATTAAAAGATTTAG